GATGAATCTGTGAGTCAATGGAACCAGGACGAATCGCAGTATCTCAGTACAACAGTGACGAATAGCAGGGTATCAATATGACCAAGACGAATCACGGTGTTTCAGTACAACAAAACAAATCGTAATGTTTAAATACAACCAATACTAATCACACTGTAACAATACAACCAAGGCGAATCACAATGTCTCAGTACAATCAAGGCGAATCACGTTGTCTCAATGCAACCATGACGAATCACAGTGTCTCAATACAACCAACACGAATCAGTGTATCAATACAACCAAAACGAATCACAGCGTATGAATAAAACAAAGACAAATCACAGTGTATCAATACAGCAAAGAAGAATCACAATGTCTCAATACAACCAACATGAATCAGTTTCTCAATACAACCAACACGGATCACAGTGTCTCTATACAATCAATACGAATCACATTGTCTAAATGCAACCAAGATGCAACACATTGTCTCAATACAACCTAGACGAATCACAATATCTCAGTACAACCAAAACGAATCACAGTGTCTCCATACAACCAAGACGAATCACAGTGTCTCAATACAACCAAGACGAATCAATGTGTTACCATTCACTTTTACCCCAAACAATTTCATCCTATTCTACCTATTAAGATTTTTAACATTACCATTTACAAATTTCTCCAGAAACGAATATTATATTAAAACTATCGATGTTTTAAACATTCAGTTCCCTCTTGTCCACAGAGTGATACACTTAATGTTAAACCTATTTATTGATGTTAAATTCACATTGTTTCCTTTATGACGTATATTATAAATGAAGTCTGTAATGAGCTACTACCTTCGTTCCAGTGCAACTTAATATCCCTACGTTGCCACCATTACTACTGACGTATCATTGTTGGTTGGGTATTTGAAATACTTCGGGGCACTGAGTGGCCATGTAGTCAAGGCGGTCATCTTTGCAGATCATTCAAACATTCCATCTCTATCCCTGAAAGTTTGAGTTATGTGATACTTCTCACTAGTACCTCTGGAGGGGTAGCAGTCGTACTCCCATGGGGTAGCTAGTCTACCTTTGGTCCCCACCTGTCGCTCAACTCTCACCTGTGGCTCCCAGTAGCTGTAGCATGCTCAGCAGCCACATCACGGGCAACGGTTTCGACTGGCAGGCAAAACCAGGTTGAGGGTAGCTGACGAGTCACAAACCCTAGGTAATCTAGGTCTGTCTACCTAAACATGTGAAGACTGGACCCGGCGGACTGCGTGGAGAAATCATCATCTGGTCAACGAGCAGAAAGGCGGTTATAGCAAGCGTTGTGGAACACGACTAGGGCACAGTGATACACCTGTGACACTGCTGGCCATTCACTGCATCCCACCTATCTCCAGTCGTCTAGACTCTGTCTTGCCACTGGAACCAGATAAGGGAAGATGAGAGAGTGAGGTCGATGAGAACGCAACTCCTCATTGAAATCCAATTCTTACGCGCAAGTCATGACTTCCCTAGATTATTATTACACTCTATCATCATGCAAGTCATGTGGCAATGATATTTGCAGCCAGACAACTCCAGGAGAAATGCAAAGGGCAGAATTTCGGCCTCTACACCACTTTTGTGGACCTCACCAAGGCTTTTGACACAGTGAGTCTTGGGTCTGTGGCGGATCATGGCAAAATTCGGATGCCCTGAGAAGTTCGTCATCATGATCAGACTATTCCACGATGCTCGCTAGAGTACAGAATGAAGGTAAGTTATACCTGCCCTTCCCAATGACAAATGGTGTCAAACATGGCTGCTTTCTTTTTAGACCCTGTTCAGCATGATGTTCACAACGATGCTGACTGACGCTTTCCGTGAGGGTGATATTGGCATCGAAATCCGGTTTAGGACTGATGGGAACATCTTCAACCTAAGAAGACTGCGTGCTAAGACCAAAGTCCAGGAAGACACTATCCGCCACCTCCGCTTTGCTGACGATTGTGCTTAACATACTTGTACTCAGTCTGACATGCAAGAACGTATGGATCTTAATCCAAAGCCTGCACAGACTTCGGACTCCCAATAAGTACAATTACGACAGAAATCTTGTACTAGCCCGCACACTCAATCCCTACACTGAACCAAACATTACTGTCGATGGCCAGAAGCTCGCCGTTGATGAGAAGTTTATCTATCTTGGCAGCACCTTGTCACGCACAGTCTTCATCGATAAAGAGGTCACCCTCAGGATTGCTCGCGTAAGTGTAGCCTTCGGCAGACTCCACAACTCTATGTGGAATAGAAGAGAAATCAGCATGCAAACTAAGATCAAGGTGTACCGCGCAGTATTACTGCCCTCACTCTTGAACGCCTATTAGACATGGACTTTGTACAGTCGTCATGAAAGACAGCTAAACCCCTTCCACATGCGCTGCCTCAGAAAACTGCATTACACCAAAAGGCACAACAAGATTCTTGACACAGAAGTCCTCCAGAGAGCTGAGATGACAAGCGTCCATGCCATTCTCGGAAGATCCCATTTCCGCTGAGCTGGCCATATCTGCCGTATGCCTGATGAGCGCATCCCGAAGAGACTGTTTTATGGGGAACTAACTGAAGGAAAGAGTTCCAGAGGAGGCCAAAAGAAACGGTACAAGGACACGCTCAAAGCCTCCATGAAGTCCTGTGGCATTGATCCAGACAGATGGAAGCAGCTTGCCGACGACCGCAATGCCTGGTGCCAACAGATCAACTCAAGTGCTGCTGTTTTTGAAGAGCAACGGATCATCGAAACCAAACATAAACGTCGGCAGAGAAAGAGCAGAGTCATCGCGAACCCTCAATCGATCCAGGATCCGGCAACTCCCTGCCCTCATTGCCCTAGATACTTCAAAACGCTGATTGGCCTCACCAGCCATCTGCGCACTCACAGATTAGCCCAGATGTGAAGTCATGGTCGTCTTCGAGAACGAAGGACGAACAACAATAACAACCTTCCCGTGGGTCAGTGGTTCCTGTTTCCAGGGTGTGTCCTCCACAAAATATCTGGCGGCCATGTTTATCTCTATCATACGTTGAAAAATGCCTTTAAACCCCACAAAACTAAGCCAAACTTAAATTGCTGATTTTCAGAAACAAATAAATCTATAAATATATATAGACCAGAAATTAAACTGAACTAACAAGATCTCATTTTCTCTTTCTCAGTAGTTGTTGCGTTGTGTTAGAGAATGGTAACTGTACTTTTATTGTAATAATTTATCTCTAACGAAATGCAAACTGATGCTGTCATCTGCAAAAGTTTTGCAGGTTACTGTGTCTCAAGTCACGACCTGCTACGATGAAACTAATGATACCCCCCTATATATATATATATATATATATATATATATATATATATATATATATATATATATATATATATATATATATATATATATATATATATATATATATATATATATAAAGAAGAGCCTACTTTTCAGTGAAGTTATAGGCTATTCTTATTGTAATTTGTTTTAAAATTAAATCATTTTGTTATCAGTGCATGATTATTTGGATGAAAAACAAACAGTGTTTATAGAACTTTATTTTACATTTGAACGTAAAAAGTGTATGTCATTTAGGATCAGATGCACATTTTAAGTTGAATTGCATTTTGTTGTTGATGATGTTGTTATTACTACAGCATTCGCACATCATCCCATTTCTTCGTACACCTTACCATTCCGACTTTAAGTACAAGAGGCAGCAAGGATATAATAAATGGACAAAACTTAGTCACATAATTCGTCAAGTTTTAATTTCTAGCTTGATTGTCGTCTGTCGTCGGGAAGAGTGTTTTTGAATAATGTATAACATATTAATTAATTAATTAGTGAAAAGAAGTTTAAAAGTGCAGTATTAATATTCCTGTCATACTGGCAAGCCGATACATCTATCATCATGCGTCGGCGGACAGCTGTTGCAATCATTAATGTGCACTGCAAGATCCACCGTAATTAAGGGACCAGGTAATGATAATGCTCGCCATAAATACATCACAATTTAATTTAATCGATTAAAACCATTTGTATATGGCTGCAATTTCTACCATTGTATCAAACTATGTATTATAATTCTTTACTTTGACAACTCTAGATGACTGAATCTTACTTTATTCATAGTTCGTAAATCCTATACTTTGATATCCAAGGTGATAGTTAAAACATTGTTTGTTTTTGGGCTTATGTTCTAAACACGGATCACCATAGTAATAGATCCATACATAAATCTAATTCGTTTACAACTTTCATACGTTGATTTTTGTTTGTTCAAATTCTGATTAGTTCCAATTCGGAGAGATACTGATTTCTGCTATCATTTGTTTAACTCGGTGCGTTGCTTCTCGTGGGTCGGCGGTTCCTTCCGTGGATATCCCGGTTTCTTCCTCCACCATTAATACTGGCCGCCATGTATAGCCTATCGCGTGCTGACATATGGCGTTAAACTCCAAAACAACAATATAACTAGGTGCGCATCTTTCTGATAAATTCATTGTTGGATTTTGTGAGCATGAGTATTTTGTCAGATACATTCATCGTTTAATTACATCATAAACAAACATCTCGTATACGAAACTGATGTATGTCTTCATTAAAATCCAACAACAACCCAGCTTCAGTTTGTACTAAAATAGTTCGATATGTTTCATTCGTCTTTGCAGTCCTATGTGCGTAAAGTACCCGTCTATACAAACGCGCGCGCACCTGTGTGTGTGTGTGTGTGTGTGTGTGTGTGTGTGTGTGTGTGTGTGTGATTTAGATTTTTAACGTAGCTTTAATAAACAAATTTCAGTCATATCGCTACGATGTATGCAGTGTGACAGTTTATAGTGATCTCTAGCACTGGTGCATCATGTCGCAGAATGTAGCATGATGTCCCAGCCAGTCACGTTATCCTGACACTAGGCCGACCAGTCCTAACACTAACCTCTTAATGCTGAACGACAAACGGGGAAGCTGTTAGTACCAATTTTTAAAGTCTTTGGTATGACTCAGCCGGGATTCGAACCCACAAACTCCCGCATCCGAGGCTGACGCTCTAATCACTAGGCCACCGGAGCGGTCATACGAACACGTACTTTTTGTTTTCCCTACACAATACTTCTTTTTCAGCTCAATATTTCACTCTGTGACTCGTATTTTAGATATCACAATGATGTTTTTTAATTTTAAAGTTTCAATCGGTTTTTAACATTTGTACTATCTCTGAATTTGCAAATCGCATGAACTTGAAATAATCCGGTTTGTCGATATTCTGTAAATGGGATCTAAAGAAAATATCCCTTATATTCATATTAAGTGCATGTTCTACACACCTCATGGAAATTTGTTGCAAATCACTACAATGTTCTCTGATCCAGAGGCTGAACGTATTCTGAAAAGAATAATTAATGGAATTATTTATTGAATTTTGTTGTAAATATGTATTTTCCTTCATGTTTCCTATTTTATTTTCTTAAGTTTGCAGATTTTGTGACCTCTTTCTCGTAGACCTGCGAGAAACAATTAAACACGTCTCATGAACATTATGTTCTTTGCTGCAAATACTGTGGAATCTTTGTATTTGAGAAGAACGATCCTGAACGCATGCCTTTGGGTGATACTATTTCTGTGCAAGTTATGATCGTCATATTCTTTGAAATATACTTGATATGTAGGCTGTTATCATTTGCAATGCAGTTTGTCTTGAATATTGTTACATGCTTTATAAATCTTTCTTTCCTTAGAAAGTTTACTTTCAATTTGAATTCATAATTTTTGGCTATTCAGCCAGTTAAGTAATTGTTATTTCCTCTTGCGAACACTCACTGGTCTAAAAGAAGCAAATATCTGCAGTAAACCTACTATCTATCTATGTATATATATATATATATATATATATATATATATATATATATATATATATATATATATATATATATATATATATATATATGTGGGTGTATATATATATGTGTGTGTGTAAATATACATATATATATATATATATATATATATATATATATATGTATATATATATGTATATATATATATATATATATATATATATATATATAAATATATATATATATATATATATATATATATATATATATATATATATATATATATATATACACCAACACTTTTTGTAATCTTTTATATCTTCATTCAAAGGTACATTTTCTTCCGGTGTAAGTAAGAAATGTACACCATTTCAAAGTATCCGCGACAGTCAAAGTAAGGAGTGCCCCGCGACCTGCGGAACGTGATGTTTTGAAAGATTTACCGCCACCGAGCTTCCTAGATCGGATTACAACCATATTAAAAGGTGTACATGTACTGAGTGCAAATACGTGTTGTCACCTTTGCCCATTTTTCCTTTGTGTGCAGTAAGTCCCAGTACATAACATGGAGTCTTCTGTTTACGGATCAAATATACATTTTTGGAGATAAAATACTGTAGGATGTGTACGTTTATGCATTTATCGAAGGAAAGTTGCAGGGTAATTTAGCAACTGAAAAAAGCTTTATTTAGTGGGAAACACCTTTCTTTTAAAACCGATTACATTGTTATGTTTCCTAAGTTTGAGAGGGAAGTCTGAACCTCACTTTTTTGCTTATCATTATTTCTGATGTCTACAATAACTTTTTTGCTTTTGTTTGCTGCTGATATAATTTTGCTGCTGAGATTTGTTGGCTAAATATGCAAGGGACTGTGTATTGACCCCAGGAAAGGACTTCCTCTTGGTGTTCTTGTGCTGAAATTTGTCATTATAAATGCTTGCCAGTCTTCAAGTCCCATCTACTCTCACTTCTCTAGTTTTACTAGGACAAGTCATCGTATTTCTCGTGCATTCTCGTGTGTGGCCTCAATATCGCTTTGTTGTGTGCTCGAATTCTAGTAGTGAGATGTATATATAAATTGACAGCTCACACGTTAGTCGAAACGAGTGCATGGGTCGCCTACACAGGATGCATATAATTTGTCCGATGCTTGCAGTTAAAAGGACTAGAGTCGGTGCTCGTAGCAACAACGAGTTAGGGGAGGTAACCACGAAAGACCTACCAGAGTTTGGAGACCAACTTATTATCCATCTTAAGTTGTTTGAAAATGTCTGTCAGTGGCAGGCTATTAGAAGGTGCAATAAGCGAGAGAGTAGTGTCATGCGCATTTATTAAAACATCTGCAGATGCAACTTCTGCTGATGTTTTTGTTGGTAATGGTTCTGCTTCTTTACATCTACTTGCAAAGTCAACGACAGTTAACACGTATTTGTATGTGCTTGATTGACGTCTACGTGTTTTAATACTATCATGAGGTATGGGATGCGCTTAGGTGCATGAGCGGTGTCGTGTTCTGGATGACGTTTCGATTGACTTGTTCTGATGATTCACACGCTATATAAACACACTCTTGCATGTCAATGTGCCGAAAGGAAAGCAGTACCAAATCGCCAGCAAAATCAAACTCCTGTAGAAAAAAATAATTGATTTGATTCCTCCATTTAATACGGATTAGTCTGATACAGCATTTTAATAATAATAATAATAATAATAATAATAATAATAATAATAATAATAATAATAATAATAATAATAATACTCATCTATCTCAAAATGAATATATTTTTTAAAAAAAAACAACATTAAAATGATATATGTCTGAGTTTCGGATGCATCCAAGAAGTCTTGTTGTGGTTTGGCAGGAAGAGGAATGGGTTCAACACAAGGAGGTTGTGTTCCCTGTATTTCCTGCGCGGAAACCACTTTTTTGGTGTGCGGGATTTGTTCATCCCAAGTTGCAAAGAAAAGTTCACATTAACATTTATAGCTGCAGGGGTCTAAGATATGCATAACGAGTGGTTAGGACAGAAAAAAAGGTTTATGTAATTTTGATAATATCCTGAAAAATAAGTTATGATGACCCAATTTTATTTTCGGTAGCTCTCTAGGTAAAATTGGTTTCAATAGGGTAGAATTTTGTATCGTGGGTGCAGATTTTAAGCGATGTTTAACAAATCCTGGAAAAACATGGTACAGTGCTTAGATGCACACTTAATCCCACTGCTCTGTGATTGTATTTCATCGTATGTTTATTATTGCCCGGACAGGAAGGACGGACACAATCTTTATGCAACCTTGAAACTATGTCACACCAAGATTGACCTTGAGAGTAATTTTTTTAGCTGTGAGTGTAGGATGTGAGTGTAACGAGAGTGGAATTAGAGTAATTAGAGTACTAACACATTGCGTAACTTACCACTTCAATAAAGATTGGAAAATAGGTTAAAGTGATACATTTATGATGCATGAAATAGGTATTCATCCCATAATGCAATGTTAACAGGCTAAGCAGTGCAGAAGATATAAGCTTGGACATTAGAGACAGACGACAACTTAATTTATTCAATATACCGCTTCTTATTGCTGAGAGGACATACAACAGTGATACATTGAAAAGAACGCAATTTTAAGGGAACGTCCCTAAAAGGATTGCATTCTTTACAAAATACGAAGTGAACTGTACAAGGGGTTATATAAAATGAGTTAAATTTTTAGCAAGAACAAGAATCCATGGATGTGTTAATAGTCAAGAGCCAAGCATAACAAAAAAGAATGGGTTGAAAGGAGTTTTCCTTCTTGCTACATTAAACAGTTTTTATACAGTTTCCTGATTAGGAATTCATGCACCGTAAGTTTTATTTTTAAAATTCTTTCACCGTGTTTGATTTTATATCTTATTTAAATACATACATAATTTGGAAACTTGAATGCTTGTGTGGGTGTTATATAATCTTGGTTTTTTTTAAAGTCTAAGTCCTAGAAGTAACATGACTTAAACATAATAAAATGAACATTTCTTGGTCGTTGTGTAGCGATAAATTAAAGCAATCTTAGAGAAGATGTGAGAAATGTTCCCAAACAGTTGCCATCAGGATCGGAAGAATTACAATTTTTCATGACTATGCCGGACAATGAATGCTTGTATCGAAATCCACCGAAAAGAAAACATAATAATAATAATATAACCAAAAACATTTTTTAAAAAGTTCGAACAAAAATGAGCTTTTTATGTATGGGATGTCAGCAATATACTCTACTTGCCACAAAAACTAACATAATGTCGCTCCATTCAGCATTATGATGGTTCATAGCTACTTGACAGGTGCCTTTCCTGACCTCTATGTTTCTGCAAGGCAGATGATAAATAAATATGATGCCGTATCTGTCATGCCTCACCTTGTATGATGACCCTTGTCATGATACACATATTCTAGCCGTACATACAGGTTTCCTTCAGTTGGAAATACGATAGTTTGTGTCATATTAAACTTAGGGAAAGCAATTGTTAAGTAGACATTTTCAGAAAACCACAGCTTCTCGTTTCTTTTATACGTTTTCAACCCCACATCACAGAAGGTAATAACAAATCCTAAAGTAAGGTCGGCTAATATGCACATATCGAACCACCTGGAAAATCCCACATTCATATCACATAAGATGAAATTTTATCGAATATCTGTGTATGTAAGCAAAAGTTTAAAGAATAACTTCAAAAGGTTTGTAGCTTTGATCTGCAACGTGGACCAAAACAGTGAGACATGATTCAATTTTAAGGCTTTACGTAACCACTGTACCACCAAATTGACTTCTGATTTGTTCGTCTTGTGATCTTTTTCCTATGTAATAACTGTTACCACTGGACAAGAGACTCTAAACTTGGTTCAACAATTGTGGACGTTGGTGAAGTGTCTTCAGAATGAGTGTAGAGTTTGCAAAGTGACAGTCTAAATATGGACGCAGGCCGCAGTCTTACATCACCCTTCGCTGTGAGCGCAAACATAACATCAGCGGCGTTAAAACAATGTATATAAAATTCTTCGTTGGTTCAAAGATACAAACATAGATATCAATGATTTATATTTTCTCTTTCACTGCCTTAATCACAACAAAGAGGGCGTGTCTACGGCATGTGGTACGCTGTTTATTATAAAGCTAGTTAAAGTGCGCTTAAACTTTTATTCAGAGGCTACAATGCTATACTCTGGTCACGGACACATAATTATATTGTTCATCTCCAC